AAAAAAAAAAAAAAAAAAAAAAAAAAAAAAAAAAAAAAAAAGAATTAAGAGTCAACCCCAAATTTCGGGCCAGCAGGTAGTGTGGTGGTTAAAGGTTGGACTCCCCATGGTGGACTACAGTTTAAGTCCCAGACTTGGCAGCTTGCTTTCTCACTTTCCCTTTCTCTCTCTCTGATCAAATTTTAAAATAAAATAATAAATAAAATTAAATAAATAGTTATTAAAAAAAAAACTTTCCATGTCATTAAGGATGAGAAAGCAAATATTTTTTAAAAGCTCTAATATGATTTCCTTTACACATCACATCAGTTTAAGGATACATGGGATAGTGACTGTTTAAAGAAAAAAATGTCATGAAATCATATACCTTCTAAGTTCATTTTGTATAGCTAGATTTAATATGTGCCAGCTTATCCTCACCAAATGAAAAAAACTTCCTGAGGGCAGAGGTTATATCTTTTATGCCTCTATTGTTTCTCATGCTACACTGGAAATATAGTAAGCATACCATAAAGATTAGTTGATAATAAAGTATTTCATCTATGCTTTTTATACTCTACATTTTTTACTCAGTTATTCCTTGTTATACGTGTTTTATTACCCTCTACCAACTGCTTCAATGTTCACCCACCCTAAATCTAGTGAAAGAATAGCTCATATTGAAATTGGTACATCTTGGGACCAGCAGTTAGCATAATGGCTATGTCGCTGGACTCCTATGTAGTCGACCATGGTTCACGTCCTGGACCTGGTGGCTTAAAAGTCACGCTGGGCGCATGTGCGTGTGTGCCCAGGATCCCGAGAGGAGAACGGAGGAGAAGGGATTGTGGCATGGCCATCCCCCCTGGGGGGTGATTTCTCACCTTCTGTCTCTCTGTCTCCCTCTGTCTGTCTGGCGAGCGCACGCACCCTATAGCAAAAACCTCTCAAAAAAAAAAAAAAAGGTACATCTTGACTCCTTCTATTTCAGACTCTTGGCTCACAAATGCTAAGGGACAAGATAGTGAACTGTGGTTTTACCCAATGGAAACATAGTAGTATAACGGAAAGACTTTTGGCTACCAATAGTGATGAGTTTGGCAACTCAAGTAGGATGAATAGGTCTATGGCATAGATTGTAGTGAACAGAGCTACAAGTTTTATACATTAAACATGTACAGTTTTTTATACATGTCAATTACACCTCAATGAAGTGGTTTTTTGTTTGTTTGTTTGTTTTTGTTTGTTTGTTTGTTTTTAAAGAAAGTAAATGCAGGACCAGACATTGGTGCAGCTGTAAAATGTGATGCCCTGTGAGGCAGTCCCACATAGGAAAGTTCCTGATTCAAGTCCAGAGACCTTCCTGAGTACACTGGGCACGCATGTACACATAAATCTGGCTGGCTAAAACTGGGGGTGGATTATGGTATGAAGATCCTGTTAGAGGTGCTGTCTCCAATTTTCTCTCTGTATCTCTCACTCATGAAATAAATAAATAAACTGTATTTATTCTTAAATTTTATTTTAATTTTTTTATACATTCAATCACATATGTCACTTAACTTGTGAAGTGAATGTTCCAACATGAATACATTTCTCACTAGTTTAGTAGGGGGTAGTATATATGTTATCCTCAACAAATAATAGCCCATTTATTTTTTGTCGTATTTATGTCTTGCTTCTTTATTTTTTTCTCCTTAATGTCTTTCCTCCGAAAACTGTAGTGCTTGGCTAAAAAAAAAAAAAAAAAAAAAGAAAAGAAAAAAAAAAAAAAAAAAAAAAAAAAGAAAGAAGAGAAAAGAAAACACAACCAAGACAGCTGTATAACTTAGGGCAAGTTATTGATTTTTCTCATTCGTTAATTGGGGAAAATAATAGTTGTTCAAGTGTAAGGCAACGTGTTCAATGCTTAGTACATTATAAGTGCATAACAAATAAAAATCATTATTGTTTTTATGACAGAACACTCAAAATCAAAGTTAAAGGCAGTAGTAGATAGGCTCCAAAATTCTGCTAAATTCTAGAATTCTGAGTAGCTATTTAGTTATTTAATAACTTTTTCTAGCCATTATGAAGAAGAAACTTAATTTAAAATAGGGCAAAAGTGCTGTAGGAGAATATAAATAGTTCAGGGATGACCTGACTCTAATGTTTACTCCTTAGTTCATTGCAAGACTTTGCCTTGCTTTGAAACTTAAATCTAGAGCAGTGAAATGGCTCTGGGAACTCCTAAATGTATCTCCAAAGCCCTAAATCATATTGAAAGATAATGACTATTATTCCTTTGCTAAAAGAAAACAGACTGAACTTCTAGAGTTATGGGAATAGAGCAAGGCTAAAGCCTAAGAATTCTCCATGAAGAGAATGAAGTCAGTATGCTTAGGAATGAGACCAAGCAAACCAAATCAAATTTACATTAAAAAATAAAATTTAAAACCTAAAAATAACTTCATAACCACTAAAGGGCTATGCAAAATTAATACTTTATTTCAAAAACAAAATTTATATGAAAATAAGTCAATTCCATTTTTAATAAGATGCTAACATTTCATAGAAAGAGCTAATGAGCTGATCACCACTTCTTAGAAGTGTTTTATACTCATTGGTCAAATATGAAAAGTGAATTATTGCACTCAAATATCACTAGATTGGAGTTAAAATTTCCAGAGTAACATCATACAGTCTTTAAAGGGGAGTATATTAGGATGATTCACAATCAGTTTTCATTTTTATATGTGTTCAAAATATTTCCAACAAGTTATCAGATGTAGCACTAAATTTTAAAAAATGGGAAAAGACTGCCTTTATAATTAGCCTATTCAAGCAACCTGCATAATGGAGGTCCCACAGTATTTGGAGAAGAGTCAGAATAATTAACCATCATGCTCCAGATATTGTTTCCAGATACTTGTTTAGCTTGGAGTTTTCCTCTGGCCATATTTGTTTGACCCATTTCCCAGTGAGTTTGTAATTTACAACCCAGGGTAATTACCCATAATGTTTCTTCCCTATTGGACTATTTCACAGGTATTTTCAAATTTAATGATTCCCAGAGGTCAGACAGTTTTAAATTTCCTGACTGAATTATTTTTTTCCTACAGAAGACCCAAACAGACACACAGATGACATTTCTCAATATGTAATTCTTACAACTGTTACTTAGAGCCAAGATGGTTATTAACAAGGAATTCTACATTAAATATGATCCAGGTCATACTCTATATTATGAAAAACAACCCTGTTCTCTCTACAGACTGCAAAATATACTCATAGCATTTTGCTTAATCAAATTTCATGGTCCAAAACTTAGGGAAGTTTATCTGCCATGACAGAAAGGACCTTTCAGCAAGTTGAACAGAGAAGAGCCAGAGAGCTCAAAATCAAATGTGTGTTAGCACACTCAGGATAACTAAAGTTTCAAATCTGCATTGAATAATTAATCTGGGTTGGTTATCTACAAGGGCCTCTTCACTGTCTAGTCTATTGTATTCACACTCTGCATCAGCTAGGTAGATTTTTATCAGTCCTGATAAGCTTTCGGAGGTCATAGAATTTCAGAGGGAAAGGTATTACTGTACCACATTCATTGATATGGACTGTGTCTGCTTTTGATAATAAAACCAGATATTTCTACTATCAGTGCTTCTTTCTCAAAGAGACTAATATGGTCAAGTAGCTGAACATTCCTTTGCTAGATTGGATTAGTTTTATGCAATATTAAAAAATAAATAATACCTAGTTTTATCACTAGCTTCCTTAATAGAGAAATCTGTTAATATCTTCAGAATTAGAAGATGTTAGGATTAAGGTGTTGCTGGACTCCCACATAGTCGACCATGGTTTGAGTCCTGGACCCAGAGACTTAAACCTCATGCTGGACATGTGTGTGTGCATACGTGCCAAAGATCCCAAGAGGAGAATGGAGGAGAAGGGTTTGTGGTGTGGCCATTCCCCCTAGAAGGTGATTTCTTGCTTTCTGCTTCTCTTTCTCTCTGTGTCTCTCTGGTGAGTTCACATGCCGTACAGCAAAAAATCTCTCTTTTAAAAAAAAAAAGGGATATAGAAGCAGTATACTATTATCATGGGAATCTGGGGAAAAAAGTTGACAAAGTATGTCTTTAGAAGATTAAATGAATACTAGCTTTTGTATAAAAATTAATAGGGGGTCAGAAAAAATATATTAAAATGAAAGACAGATGTAAATGAATCCTGTCTATGGGCTCGCTCTTCTCATAATTAATTTGGTGAACATATTTCATTGTAAAAACATAGCTGATAAATAATAAACCAATCTATCTTCTACATGTTATTTATCTTTTAGCACACCGTTTGTTCCGCTACTTTAAATACAGTAGACATCCTGGGTAATATTTTTAGTTCTAAAAGGTCAACTTATTAGTCATCTAGTAACACTTTAAAAAGATCAAATACTACAAATTGTACATAATTTAATTACTGATATTCTTTAATTAAGTTCTTAGAATTATTTTATAATTATTTTATCATATAAAAATAATAAACTACTTCATAAAAAAATATGGTAACACATAATTAGCTTATAAGAAATACTTTAATATGATCTACTGAATAAAGGCGAAAAGAATTTTAGTTAAGTTATAGCAATAAAGACCTTTCAGCTGCTGCTAAGAATATAGAGAAAATCTTACTATTGTCTGCCATAGTGTGACACTGAGAAAAAGGTTTTGGAAGAAACAAATATGTTAGCAGAAAGTAAGAGAGGAATTTAGGGGCTTTAGACTTGGTGGCAGATGTTTATATACATAATAGGTCCCCAGTGATAGAGTAATTATGCTATGCACGATGCAACTGAGTCTGAATTGGCTCCCTCTCAGGGCAGAAGTCATGCTTTTACATAACGCACATCAATAATAATGTCAATAATTTAAACTTTGGTTGCCTTAATAGATAACTGAAGTTAGTAAAGTTACTGACCTATACTCAAATTTCCAGAGTCTATACAGATTTCATTTTAATGATCTTGCACTTCAGATTATTTTTCAGGAACTCTGTCTCCATCTTGATTTCTGGCTGATGCTAATGCAGCTGTTGCTGCAAATGAAAGTGATGCCTGGGAACCAGCAGTTAGCGTAATGGCTATGTCGCTGGACTCCCACGTAGTTGACCGCGGTTCGTGTCCCGGACCCGGTGGCTTAAAACTCACGCCGGGCGCGTGTGCGTGCGTGCCCAAGATCCCGAGAGGAGAATGGAGGAGAAGGGATTGCGGCGTGACCATCCCCCCTGGGGGGTGATTTCTCGCTTTCTGTCTCTATGTCTCTCTCTGTCTGTCTGGCGAGCGCCCGCGCCCTACAGTGAAAATCTCTCCAAAAAAAAAAAACAAAGTGATGCCTCTGAAGCACACTCTCTTGTCTTCCAAAGACTATACTGAGAGAACCCACATTAATTTTCAAATCCCACATAGCAACTGTTTATATGATAAACATTAATAACAGACAAGCCACTAACTATTGCCTTAGCTTCAGGATTTACATACCACCAATTACTGTAGTTATTTAGCTTTCTTACACTCTATATATAAATAATCAGCCCCATATACCTGTTTTTGCCAAGCAGATAACCCTGATATCATGACTCTCTTCTCAAAACTGGAATCTCCTAGATCTCAAGACTTACTGAATGAAAAGACAGAGTTGTCTTTTGCATGGGCCAGATTGTTGCCCTGATACTTGACATAGCACATAAGCTCTCAGTGTATGGCCAAGTTTGTATTAATGTATTACAACACTTAGTGAGTATGAATTTGCATTTGGGGATTTTTTTTTTCCTTTGGGCACAGTAAGAATAATTCTTTCCTATTCTTGCAAAGAAACAGTAGTAAAGCCCAGCAAATCAAGATTTGCTACAATATCAGGGCCCTTGGGGAAAGTCTAAAGTGTGCCCGGATATTGAGAGGTTCTTGAGTGATTTCAAAATGACATCATTTAACATTTCCCAATGGATAATGCATGTCTTTTAATCCACAGCCTTGTTAGGCAGCAGGGAGAAATGAAATGAGCACTGGACAAGTAGGTTCTAGCCTTTTCTCTGTTACAGAGTCACAAAAGCACATGGCCCACTTCAATTTTATAAGCCTCAACTTTTCCAACTGTGAAATGTAAACTGTTACTCTACTTCTACTTTTAATGTGTAAGAGTGTCTCACATGTTTTCCATAACTCCTGTTAGTAGAGAAATTTGAATCTGTTTCTGATAAATTCTTGTTCTCTGACTAGAGATATAGGGACTGATTCTTGAGACCTATGGCATAAGAGGAAAACTTTGGGAAGGTTACTTTAATGCACAAAGTAAATTCTACTTCTATCAGAATTGGGTGGGGATCAAAGAAAGGAATTACAATCACTTTCTGGTTCTGTGTAACTGATTAGTACCAAAAGTGTCTGTGAGGAAGACAGAAAGTATGTTTCCTTCCCTCTCCATTTCTGTTACCTAGTACAAAGAAGGATAATAAATTTCATTGATTTCTAAGGGTCTTCATGAAATTCAGTGAGCTCTGGAACAATCAATGCTCCACATTGTGTTTATTCATTCACCTTTATGATATTTGGCACTATATGAATCTGACCTCAAAGAAAAAGATAAAATAGGATGTTCCTGTCTCACAAAAATATTACTACAAACATATAGCATGACAGAGGAGTAGGTGTGTTCACAAGGGCAAGAACACATTTTCTCGAATTAAAAATATATTCCTCTTGGACACAGATTCCTTGGAGGATACTTTCATGTGATCCAAATATTTGCCAGTGTGACTAATAGAACTTGAATTCCATGTGTAAGATTGATGCCTTTCTCTCCATACCTGAGATTTACAGCTACAAAGAAATACTGCAGGACAAATGACTCCAAGCTCTCTAAAATATTTATTTCTGCATATTAAATAAAATTATAATGTTTTCTTTTCTGGAAAGAACAAAACGCTATTTAAAAAGCCTGTATACACTATTGTTAACAACAGAGACAGAAGCAGGAAAGTTATTTTAAATGTAATTCTAAGTCATGTTATACATCCTATCCCTTCTCACCCCTCCCTCGAATATAAATCCAGTCTTTTTTTTTTGTTAAACTCTGAATGCAGCTCGTAGCAATTACATGCCATTGATAAACCCACCACTTAGTTTAAAGTTAAAAGGCACCTTTCTAAATATTTTGTATTGAGTGCAAAAGAGAAATAACATGCAAACCAGAAAACAATTTATCTTATATTTTGTCAAAATAAATTAAGTCAATTACGAGCATCTAAAAATGTAAATTTAATCAAAATAATTTCATTCATTGTTGATTTTTTAACATACCGATTACTTCCACTGTTAGATACCGCTTCTCTATGAGAAACAAAACAACTTTGCCTGTTATCTTTGTTTCCCCTCTCTCATATAAACATGTTTTTTTCCTAGACTGTTTTCTTTGAAATCAAAATCTCTACAACTACCATTAATTATATCAATTCACATTTACAGTGAAAATATGTAACTTATATAAGCTTATAGGAACATGTATTCATGTTAGTAAAAATCCTGAAATATTATAGCTCTCATTTTAAAAATCATAGCTAAATTTCAAAAGAACACAAAATTATCCATTTTAATCACTTAACAAATAAAAAAATTTCCAAAGACTTATAGCAAAGAGCAGACAAACATCATCCTGCACATTCATGCAAGTAACTCTACTTAATACAGAGTAGGTTAAATTGAAAATATTCATGAGATTATTTTATTTAATATCAGTTTAACTAAACACATTATGAAAAATCCCTCCATGTCAAACTTACATTTTCCCAAGTTCAAAGTTATCTCCAAGATCCTACCTCAGGCAGCCAACCACATAATTATTTTTGTTTGTGCAAACACCAATGAAAGGACATGTGAGGATGCTCCAGATTCATCGTACCCATAACCACCCCTAGATATGACAGGTTATCCAGAATCTACTGTGAAGAGTCCAGTTCTAGATATCAAGGGTAAAAGGCATAGGAGAGAGTTAATTATGCATTAAAAAATCAGAGCCTACCGTTTCAAGTTCTTTCTGTTTTCTTCAGAGATGTCAAAAGAATTCATGGGCCAGCCACACTAACAAGGATGCTACTGATCTGTGCATCAATTCCAGCTCCCTGTTCTGAGAACAACCAATCCAATCCCCTTTCACTATCAAAAAAGAGAGAGAAGGAGAGAGAGAGAAGAAAAGGAGAAAGAAAGGAGGGAAGAAAGAAATGAAAAAGAAAGGAAGAAAGGGAGGAGGAGGTTGGAAAGAAAGAGTAAAAAGAAAACAAAATGAAAGGCAAAAGAAAAATGATGAAAGCAAAAGGGAAAAAAAAAGAAATAAAATTCTCAAGATTACCTAACCACTACCATGTTGGAAAACATAGTAGTAAAATGTTAGAGTGAAATATACAAGCCACTCTGTGCACACTGAACATTTCCGTTTTCCAGAGGGCAAAGTACTCACTCTCTTTCTCTCTCTCTCTCTGATTAATGATGCAGGGCTCCGCTACAGGATGTACATAGAGCCTGTAAAGCGTCACACTTAGCAAAAGAAACTCTTTTTTCTATTTATAGGACCACACTGTATTGTCTTCAAATTCTGTGGTTGCACTCAGCTTTGAGTTTATGATAGCACACAGCCTATTTGTTTCTGGAGCCCTTTGCTGAAGTTAGGTACATTCTGGCCCCTGCCATAGATTGTTTACCACTATAATCTTCAGTCTGATCCTTTCTCATAGTCCCTCAATTGTTTCAAAGTGGACATTTCTCTATCTAAGGATGTGCCTAGGTAGCTTCTGAGGGGGGTGGGTCATGGTGGAGATGACCTCTGCCTAGGGCATGCCTAAATACACAAACCTCAGAAATCCTGACACTGAAAGAAATATCCACCTCCATAAGAGGAATTTAGGGCTACTTAACGCACCTTCCACTGTTTGTCCACCCACTCCTTGTTGTTCTTAGGGTCCCTGAGACCAGGAAGTGCAGGTAAGCTCGGTGGTTAGGGAGGGTTGGGTGAAAAGAAGCTGGTTTCCTACAACTCTGACCCATCGTCATAAGCTGTTAAAATGTTCCTAAGAGTCTTCGACCACTAGAGCCCCTGGAACCATGGAGACTGGAAGCCTCAGGACCCTGAACCATATTGTTTGTATTAGGCACCTAATACTCCCCACCCACACCACCACAGGAAGATGAAAAGGATGCAGCAGGAGGCAATTCTCAAAACTTGAAGAGTACTTCTACTGTAGCTCGGAGCAAGGAAACTTTACACATAGACCATGGATGAAAGAAATATATTAGTGCAGGTCCAATGTTATGCCTGGGCACACCTGTGTGGTATATTATAAAGAGTACCTGGAGGGCTCTCTGGTCTCAAAATATATTTGAGACTATGCCCCAAGTGCCAGTCTTTTGAAGGTAAACATTTCCTTTTTCCTAAAGTCTTGATTTTATAGTCCTAATGTTCCTATAAATATACTTACTTGAAAACCTTGGTGTAAACGAGTTTAGAATTGGAAAGGTAGGGATAAATTTTGGGAACACAATACAAAAGGAAACTGAAGAAATCCCAGAATGGGAAAATTAAATTTCCAAGCAGTTTAGAATTGGAAAGGTAGGGGGACCAGCAGTTAGCATAATGGCTATGTCGCTGGACTCCCATGTAGTCAACTGCGGTTCAAGTCCCGGACCCGGTGGCTTAAACTAACGCCAGGAGCGTGTGCATGCATGCCCAAGATCCTGAGAGGAGAATGGAAGAGAAAGGATTGTGGTGTGGCTATCCCCCCAAGGGGGGAATTTCTCGCTTTCCGTCTCTCTGTCTCTCTCTTTCTGGTGAGCGCACACGCCCCATAGCAAAAAAAAACCAAACAAACAAAGAACAAAAAAACAAACAAACAAAAACTCTCCTAAAAAGACAAAAAAAAAAAAAAGAATTGGAAAGGTAGGGATAAATTGCGGGAACACAATACAAAAGAAAACTGAAGAAATCCCAGAATGGGAAAACTAAATTTCCAAAAGCAAACTTCAATGATTTTGTCCTAGGCTTGCTATAGTGAGAATGGACTTAGGCAAGCAGTACAAAATATAAGGGGAAACAGGGGAAATTAATTTGAATTTTCATTAGGCCAAGTATATTAACAGGCTGAAATATATTGCCACTAAGTTGTCTTTTCATTTTGTACCTTTTGTACCTCAGGGTCTGGCAGGTGATATGAGCAATATTTTGCTTGTCTGTTTGTTTAATTTTTTTAACTTAATTTTGTTGTGTCTAGAGTTTGTAGTGATGCTCTCTTCCTTCACATGGCCTTAGCTCCATTCAGCAAACATATTGAATAACTACTAAACACAGAGTAGTAGATTGAATATCGCTGGGAAGGGGAGAATATGGAACAAAGATTGAGAAGGAAATGGTGATACAGGAAGGGATGCCACCTCCCAGCAGCTTTTGGCATCCAGTTAATCCAGTTAAGTAGATAAGATACTGTGTAATGGCCTCAAATATAAGGCAACATATATGCGATAAGGGCCTAATAATGTCACATCTAGTGCTATAAGATTTCAGAGAACAAGTCAGGGATCCTAGACCACTGGCATAAGAGATGGAATTCCATTGTTAGTCAGGCTAGTCTTCCAGGAGTAAGAGGTTTTGGGCTGGGCCTGTTAAGAATAACAAGGTTTTGATAAGTGAAGAAGGATATTATTTGGATTTTTTAAAACCTATTAATTTTTCTACTTTGTTAAGAGTCATGTCTTGGTATCCTCATTTTTCTTCTGCCTTCTTTTGTCAAATGAACTTTGGCTGTAGGAGTATTGGTGTCCTCATGTAGAACATTTTTTTTTCCAATTAATAGATTGCTTCCTTAGATAGAACTCTTAGAAGCCAGAGCCTAAATGGTGTCGCAGTGGTGGAACACAATGCTCTGCAAGACTATGTAACATGGGAGAGTTCCAGGTTCACATATGGAGATCTCCCTGGATGTGAGAGACCTGCATGTGCCCATGGTCAGTACCACTCATGGAAGAAATATATAAAATAAGCCTTTAAAATATAAAAAAGAATTCATAACAACCAATGATCATGTATTTTGAAATAATACACCCAGTGGCAAAACTTCTTGAGCTAAACTATACTTATCTTTCTATTTAGGTCAAAGAACTTTCACCTGATTAGAATCAAAGGCATTCCCCTACAGGAACTTCTTACATTTTATTCCAAATTGATCAAGGAAACATATATCAGAGATAAAAGGGATATGAGTGATGATTTAGTTTAATCACTCATTTTAAAGATGATGAAAGTGAGAGAGAAGAAACCCAGTTCTTGTCTCATAGTGAGTTAATGTTAAAGCTGTTAATGTCAAAGCTGGAACCTGAACTCAGGTGTCTTGATTTTTAAAGCAATTTCTCACCAGTCATTTCCAGCTAACCAGTCCCTCAGGACATCTAAGAAATGGGTGATTTACTTACAGTTACATTATCTGTGGTTAGAATTTATCTTGTTTAGTTATATAGAAAAGGTCTAATATCAAATAGACCCCAAATCTAAGCTTTATGACTCTGGCTTTATATATATATATAAATGACAGACAGTTCAGCTTACTTATATCTATTTAGAAAAGAAAAAGGTCAACTTCACTCTAATTAACAATAGAGACCCAGATTCTCTATTTCAGATACAGGAAACATTTTAGATTTCAATATCAATTTGAAAAGAATTATCTTTCAATCAATGTTTTATTATCATGTGATGTTTCTCATGATTCTAAAAGTACTAAATTTCAACTTGACTTCCTTCTCATGCTGTACATAAAACATTACATTATACAGTATATACTATGATTAATGTAGCTTCTTAAAATATATTTATACCATCAGATCTGCAACCTTAAATACGGGGTATTCTTCTTTTCCAAGAAGAACTTTTAAACTTTTATTTTAGTTGTTCTAATCATGATTAACATTTCTCTGGTACTTTATATCTGCAAAGTGCTTTACACTTTGCGATACAATTACACAGAATTAACATATCATTGATAAAACATCAAAGTGCTACAATTATAATATGTTTTTATTTTTTATTTATATTACTTTATTACTTTTTTTTTTTTTTTAGATTTTTGCTATAAGACGCATAAACTTGCCAGAGGTAGACAAAGAGAGGAAAAGTGAGAACTCATTCTTAGAGGGGATTGCCATGCAGCAATCTCTTCTATTCCATTGTCTTGGGATTTTGGTCATGCACAGACACATCTCCATGGTGATTTTCAAACACCAGGTCCAGAACTCAAACTGCAATCAACCCTGTGACTCCCATATGACCAACCACAGTTCGAGTTGCAGACCCAGTTACTTGAAACTCATGGGTGTATGTGTGTGCGTGCCCCAAATCCCAAGAGGAAGATGGAAGAAAAGGAATTGTAGTGTGGCCATTGCTCCTGGTGGGTGATTTCTCACTTTCCTTCTTTCTCACTGACTCTGTCTCTCCCTTTCTCCAGTGAGCACACATTCCCTACAGCAAAAAGCTCTATAAAAAAAAAAAAAGAAAAGAAAAGAGAAAGAACTCTAAGTTTTAAGTACTATTTTGTCCCCATTTTATAATTGTAAAAATAAGCTCAAGGATATCAAATAAATTTTGCCAAGTTACATAGCTTTTATAGTCAAGAAACACTGAATGGATATCAATTTGGAGTTTAGAAATTAAGGAGACCTCTGGGACTAGCAGTTGGTGTGATGGCTATGTTGCTGGACTCCCATGTAGTCGACCACGGTTCGAGTTCTGGACCCGGTGGCTTAAACTCACACCAGGTGCGTGTGCGTGCGTGCCCAAGATCCTGAGAGGATAATGGAGGAGAAGATATTGCAGCATGGCTATCCCCATGGGGTGGTGCTGGGGTGGGTGATTTCTTGCTTTCTGTCTCTATCTTTCTGGCGAGTGAATGCACCCTATAGCAAAAAACTCTCAAAAAAAAAAAAAAAAGAAAGAAAGAAAGAAAGAAAGAAATTAAGAAAACCTCAAGCCAGAAGTCTCTTTAGAATCACTGTTGATTCTAAGGCTATATTGGTAATATTAGTAAAGCACAATATTGATAAAGATTCAAGAGGTACACAGGGCTGTGGGAAAATTCCCAGTCTTGGGATGGTGAAATTAATGGCAGTTTTAGGACAATTCCATATTTAAGGAATTGGAACACTCCTAAATGAACTAGAAAACAAAACCAATCTTCAAAGAGTCATGTAAAAAAGCACATTAGGAATAAAACTATGAATTTATTCCAAAATATTTTTGGACCAAAACAAACTCATACTTTAATTCCATTTTTCCACAGACTTTTTGAAGTCCCCTTGTACTTCTCAGTATATGAAAATTTCAAGTACTTAATGCCTCTTCAATTCCTTACTTCCTTGCCAACGTTTACATTTCTAGTAATTAATATCTGATAGCTATATATTTTGTTTGCCCTTGGGGGAGATTCTCTGAATTG